TAAGTAAGATTATTTTTAAAACTGAAATGATAAAATAAAAATAGAAAAAATAAGCATATCAGTTCCTATCCTGAAGAAAGGGTTGTAAAAAAAAAAAATGTGCCTATACCTGAGTGAGTTTCCTTTGTAGATAATGTATAGGTGTTTTTGGTATGTTAAGCCATCAGATTACTCTGTAAAAGTAAAACCATAAGCCTGAATAAAATGCTGTTATTTACATTGCTATTGATAACAATGCTACCCCTCTGTATGTCATTACATAGTTATACTAACTAGTGAGTTGTACTAACTAGTGAGTTGTACTAACTAGTGAGTTCCTTGATCTCTCCAGTAGCAAGCAGGACTGCTATTATCCTCTGTGTAAATGAGAAAGATAAAATCGTAGTATTGCTATTTTCCTATGGTTATTTAGCTGGTAATTGGACAGCATTGCATACAGATTAAGATATTTTGGCTTTCAATCTGCTAGAAATTCCACTTTGGTGATGAAGTTCACTTTTATCAGTGAAGTTATCTCTCCTCACCTTCCTCTTCTCTCACTCATCCCCTTCCTACCTTTCTCTTTCTCAGGACATCAGAGATTAAAAGTTGTATGTATTTGTGCTTTGGTTACAAAGACATTACCAATTTTTTTAAAACACATCTGGCTTTAATGAGCTCTGTCTGAAACTGATGCCTTTCTCACTTTCGTTCTTAGTTCTTGTTCTTAACTTCTCCCCATCCCAGCTCCTACCACCATCCACGTTTGTACACCACTTCATATTTCAGTTTTTCTCTTGCCAGTGGTTTTTCCCTTCACTTTACCATGACCTTCTATCACAGCACAAATCTTAACACCAGGAGAAACAACTTGTTCCCAGCTGGTCCTGTGGACTTAGGGGGTTGGGCCTAAGTGCGAGTGGCCTGCAGAAGCACCAAAAAGTGGTCTAAGTTCTGGTGCTCCTAAGACATGGCTCCTGGACCCTCGCTTCAGCCTGTCCCAACTCTAACTATTGCTGCCTTTTGAGAAATCAACCAACAGATGGGAGATCTCTACCTCTTTCGTCCCCTCTACCATTCAAATAAATATAATCAGAAAAAAAAAAAAAAACAACCCAGAAACAAAAGAAACGAACATGTCTCTTTCCTGCCAGACTGCTCAGGATGAGGAAAGGTTTAATCTAGTGGCATGTAGTAAGCTAAATTGGCATTTTGTTAAGTATGTAGTTACCGCAAGTTCATCTCAGACCTCACATGCTTACAGTAGTGGTTGACCACTAGTTTTGTTTTTATAATATCGGAGGTGCTGGAAGAATTTTTTCTCAGTATTCCTGTTCTATCCTCAGGACTCAGCCAGCTCAACATAGCTTTTGGTATGTTCAAGTTTGTCTTCAGTCTGTAATATTCCTATTTCTGTTTCCAGGGAAAAAAGATCGTGTGTGTGCATAAATTGTCCAATTTGAAATGAATAGGACATTGTTAAAAATGTAAATCATAAAGAAAAACTTAAGCACATTTGCACATTTTAAAATGTATTTCCTTGTGTCTTGAATGTTTGGTGTTTTGCCAATTTTGTTCTTTGTCATTAATCTTTTATTGATCTGTAGGAGTACATTATATGTTAGGAAATCTAAACTTTTTTGTATGAGTTGCTCATTCATAGTTTTTAGTATTTCAAAGTATTCATGCATTCCCTGTGTCGTTCTAGTTCCTATTTTAATGCTGCATTTATACTTACTTTTAAAGTTCCAGAAAGTCAGGATCCACATCTATTTATTATTTTATTTTCATTGAGTGCCAAGAAATGAAGACATATTTATAATAAATGATCAGTTAATGATTTGCTAAATAAATATAATGAGTTAAGCATGATAGATAAAGAGAATCTATGGTACTTAAAGAAACTGAAAAACTGCTAAAGATAACTTTATGGAACCATGATGAGTTTGGTTTTGAATATCTTGATTTTTAGCAGACAGCCATTATCCTACACTGAGTGTGCTCAAAACTTACTTTGGCAAGATACCCATGCAGGTTTGGAATCATTACCATGAAGCTGACAATTCAAAGCAGATGACCTCTGATGGAAAGAATGTTATGTGAGGCCCGCAAGCACTTAGAATCAGAAACCATTTCAGATGGTTATAGTTGTAACAGTTTTGAAGCATGAAAAGAGAAGGGGAAACAGAGTGATGATATATAATTTTAAGTAAAAAGATATGGAGACATGGAAATATTTCAGTATTCAAGCAATAATGATTATTGAACAGTATTTATGTAATGTTATAATCACATCAGATCACTTACCGTGAAGAAATGGAATCCTTTACTAATGGAAAACTGAGTCCATCATAATCAAATAAGCTTGTGGAATCAAAAGTATTATTTTTGTTTGAATTGGCTGTTTGTGTTTTTCATGCCTTAATTTGACAATAATTGTGCTTCATATTATTAAACCAGTGTAAGACCAATACCTATCACTTTAGTCTCTTAGTATGTTATTTACCAATTGTATTAACTGAATGAAAAATGTTCAGTTTTTAAAGACATTTTGTCAAAAAGGAATTTATATCAAAACAAGCTATTTAATGTATAGAAGTAGCTATAATTATATAGAGTAACCATTTTGACTCAGTTGTTTACAAACTAGTTTCCTAGTTTATTATGTAGTCATGTGTCTTAAAAATTTTAAGATTATAACCTAGGCAAGGTTTTTATTCTGATGGTACAGGAGATGTAGTATTCCAATGTCGATTTTAATATGATCTTATGGATTAAATGAAACTATCTTTAACACCTAAGCAACTTTTTGGGACCAGTTTTGTGCAGTGAGTTAAGCCACCACTTGCAATGCGAGCTTCCCATGTGGGTACCAGCTCAAGACTGTTCAGGCCCAGCCCTGGCCTTCCTGGCCATTTGGGGAGTGAATGTGGAATGGAGGATCTATTTCTGCCTCTCTCTCTCTCCCTCTCTTCCTCTTTAATTACCTTTCCAATAAAAAAAAATAAGAAAGTATACACTTTCCTTTCAATTTCACTTAAAAAATAATCTGTGAATTAAATTAGGAGAACTGTTAAATGTGCTGTCCAGATAAATAAGCAATTTAGCAGAAATTTAGCAAAAATAGTAGTCACATTATAATAACATTCTACCTAGCCTTTAGCTGTCATTACTTTGTTGATCATAATTCTGGTATTCCTGGGTGGTTTTTGTCATAAAGGAAATTCCTTATGTACATTTATCAGATTCTTCTGCGTGTGAAGAGTTTGTTGATGATGAAGTTATCTGTACAAAAGATGCAGAAAGCAAGAAGATGAAAAATCAACTTGAACTGGTGCAAGTTGGCTGACATGTTGGATCCTGGAGTAGACAGTATCACTTCTTTGGGCTTTTCAGAAGTTTGTCACTTGCTCATACTGAGTTATCACAAGCGCTTATGGGCTCCTTGGAGCTTTTAGCCACTGAGAAAACCAAAACTAGGATGGCCTGTGTTAATATAGGAAGGAAATAATGACAGAATTTTTCTCCATGGTCTTATTTTATGCAATTTGTAAATTGTTAATAGAAATCAGGCCTGGTGTAATGGCTCAGTGGCTAAATTCTCACATTCCATGCACTGGAATCCCAAAGGGGCATAGGTTCGTATCCCAGCTGCTACATTTCCCATCTAGCTCCCTGCTTGAGGCCTGGGAAAGCAGTCAAGGATGGCCCAAAGCCTTGAGACCCTGCATCTGTGCGGAGACCCAGAATAAGCTCCTGGCTCCTGGCTTCAGATCAGCTCAACTCTGGCCGTTGGCAGTGTCTTGGGAAATGATCCAGTGGATGGAAGATCTTTCTCCATCTCCTTCTCTCTGTAACTCTGCCTTTTATTTATTAGAAACAAATCTTTAAAAAAAAGAATGAAAATCAATATAAAGAAAAATTTTTGCTGTGGTTTTCATTATTACAAAATAATGACCAGGTATCTAGTGCTCAATGAATCTTCTCTAAGAAGTGCACAGTGATAGAGAAAAGGGATTGTTTCCAGTAGTTACCATTTCTGCACTTTCTTTTTGCACCTTCCTGATAACCAAGTGAATGGAAATCACTGATTTGTTGTTATAACTCAGTTACCTTCCAGTAAAACTGACTTCCTGAGACCTGGAAGCCATCCTTGTGTGTGTGTGTATCTATACCTGTCAAAGGAGTGATGCAGAAAGTCAATTAAAATCCTATCAGTGCTCAGGAGTGCAGTGGTGGGGGGAGGCTGGAAGCCATTACATTCTGTAAGAATTGGAATGTAAAAGATCATAGTCGCCTGAACATGGGCTATCCACTTATGAGAGCAGAAACGTAATTCATTTACAGAAATAGCCAAATGTTGCTTGCCCACTTCACTCTACATCTCTTTACAGTTAAGTATTCCAACCCCCATTATAAAAATAGAAGCTAAGTTTAGCAAATTGTTCAGCCATATATGTTTGGTGAACCAAATTCTTAATTAACAAAATAAAATGCCATAACTCATTGTAAATCACTTTGCTAAACTTTCAAACTTAATAAGGAATTTTTCCTTGGTTTAAAAGCTGCATTCACACCCCTGCTGTTCTGGCACTCATGTACGATTCCCTGTGGAGCTGAGGGAAGGATTGTAAAGGAAGCCAATTAAAGAAACACTAAGCCAGAATAGATGACCAGAGGCCATCTTGTCCGTCCTTCTGCCTCTAGGCAGAAACCATCCGCTGCAACACAAATTTTTGCTTGAATCCTGCTGACAAAAAACGCTCACCCCATGTAAATGACAAGTCATAATCTGGTTATTGCAACGATAGCAGATTGTTAACTGTTCAAAACTTGATTGTGATCTAAAAATGCCGAATATGAAAGCTTGTCTGAATTATCTTAATTCCCTCTTTTTTTGAAAAAAAAAATTTATAAGAAGTACACTCAGACAATTGTAAAGATAGAGGAAGTTTGTGTCCAGGAAATGTAGTTATCGTGATCATCTTATTAAGTATATTTTTGGTGTCCTTTCACTTTAGGCTTACCTTATGGGTGGGAGGAAGCTTACACAGCAGATGGAATCAAGTACTTCATCAAGTAAGTACAAACATCTCAACCAAGTAAGCAATTTTCTTCACATCTGGAAAGAACCTGGGAGTTGCAGAATAATCAGCAAAACCAAGAAACCCCCTTGGAGGTTACAAAACTTAGTAAGAAGAAATGAAGCCTCACCATTTTCATTCTATGTGATTTAAATGCTAATATCAGATATCCTTTGGGAGAAAAGATGGAATTAGTTTTAAGGGAAACATCAAAAAATTAGAATCGTGTTTTGTATTTAAATATTTGCTGCCTAAAACCACTTCCTGGCTAATAGTATTAATATTTATGAAAAGTTATTATCTAGTGAAAAGTCTATTTGTGTGTTCTTAAAACTTAATAATATTAATCATCATGATAAAATTTACATAATAGTAAGGTGAAAGACAATAAATATCTTGGGAACTAAATAAGATAATGTTTGAACAAAGTTTGTCCCCGTGGATTCTCAGAACAGCAATTTGATGTATTCAATTATTTCCCGTATTTTACAAATGAGGGAAGAAAGAACCTTAAGTAATTGCCAAAAAATCCACAGAAGAATTAAAGTTCTCTAAGATCGTTTTTACTCTCCTAGGCTGTCAGTGAAGCAGGAATTCTTTTTCTAGCTGCTGGACTGGTTAATTTTACCCCGGATAAAGCAGTCTGCCATACTTCCACTGTGTTCTGGGTAACTCCTTTCACATCCACATTGGCAATATGAGAAAGCATGATGGGAAATTCCAGGAGACTCTTGGAATAGCCTTGGAGCAGAGTATACTTTGTTTGCATTTAGAAGACAAGGAAAGGACTTGCTGTCCTTTCACATGTAATATTTTCCAAAGCAGTATTTACATTTTAGATTCTCAAACCCTCTGACTTTGCCTAGTTTCCTGTATTTCTCATAACCTCCATTGTCTCATCATAAGAATATTAAGAATAGATATCATTATAATATTATCTGGGAATATTACCTACTTTGTAGAGTTGTTCATTGTTCAGAACCTCTCATAAAACTCTAAACATAGTAGGTCATTAAGAATATTTAGTAGTTTGCAATTTTGAGATGGCAGTATTAGTGGGGAAAAAAATCCTGAAAAACATCTCAATGTTAAAAGAATTGAGAAGGATTTAAGAATGAACTCAGTACAAAACTGAGCAAGGTGTCTTCATGGTATGTTTTTTTCTTGTGGTTTAAGCAAAAAGTGCCGAATGAGACAAAGGTGGATTTTATAGTACATGAAGAGGATGAAATTTTTGTAAAGAGAACCTAGGAATTCAGTGTGCAAGTTACAGTTAGCACTAAACTAATTACTTCCCAAATCACTTCTGGTTTGTTGGTTACCATGCTTAGTTCCTAGAGAGTTCAAACCACTGCCATGGAATTGTAACAGAAAAATAAAAAGAAGGAAAAAGCCACATTTAAATTTGATCTAGGCACTATATGGTGTCCAATAGCCAAGCATATTTATGTGCTGTATTTTCTGTGCACTGAACAATTTAAGCATTTATCAGTGTAGAAAACAGATGTTGTTTGGCACTTATTAGTGGTGTTTGAGTAGTGGTAAGCTCTGTATTGTCTCTAGCCATGCCTTTTTCACAAAATGAAATGCATATTTAAAGGAAGCAAAATCAGTATGCAGTATTGGCTGGGGTTCTGCATTCACAGGCCTTTGAGAAATGCCAATAAGTGAGACTGGGCCCTACAGGGAACTTATTGATCTAAGCTTAGCTTTCTTTTTTTTTTATTTTAAAGAATTAATTTACTTTTTTATTACAAAAGCAGATATATAGAGAGGAGGAGAGACAGAGAGGGAGATCTTCCGTCCGATGATTCACTCCACAAGTAAGCACAATGGCCGGTGGTGCGCCGATCCGAAGCCAGGAGCCAGGAACCTCTTCTGGATCTCCCACATGGGTGCAGGGTCCCAAAGCTTTGGGCCATCCTCAACTGCTTCCCCAGGCCACAAGCAGGGAGCTGGATGGGAAGCGGAGCTGCTGAGATTTTAGAACTGGTGCCCATATGGGATCCTGGCGCGTTCAAGGCGAGGACTTTAGCCACTAGGCCACTGCGCTGGGCCCTAAGCTTAGCTTTCTATCAGTTACTAACCCAAGGATGAACATGAGAAATAACTAGTGTTATATGAGAAAAAGGGCACAACTGGCCATTACAAAGAAGAAAGAGGAAGTAAAAGATGTCTAGGGTTGGTTTGTCTTGTTGCCTGGAACCCTCTCAGCCAAAACCACTGTCTCTTAGAGAATAGAATAGTAGCCTTAGGTTTAACTCCTGTGGCAAAACAGAAAAGCATCTGAGGAGAGGAGATAAATGAGAAAAAGTCAGTAAAGCCTTGGCTGCCCAGAGATCTTATAGTTCCTGTGAAAGGAGTAGAAAGACACTGTACCTTAATCTCCTTCACTCAAAAAATACACCCCAAAGCCTGTGTTTTGAAGCCCATGAGTTCTCTTCATTGACCTTAATCTGGATGCATAAGGAAAGTAGGAAAGAGATGAATATCGGTGAATATCATTATTTCATGTTGCAGTTGAAGATGCTGCTTCATAAAGAAGACAAACTCAGCAATAACTGCAGGGCTGAGATAACAGATCCTCCAGCCCTCTACATACACGTTTCCACGCGGCACCACCTCTCCTTATTTTATGGTAGTTTGCCAACATGTGACATGAAAGACATTTAGGGCGGATCTTGATTTAGATAGAGCTCTATCCTTTATCCATTTTGAAATAGCAGAATAGCAGTGTGGTTCTAAGAATTAGTAATTATCGCCTAGAGATTAGAAAGGTCAAAGAGTGAGAATGTTAAAATCTAACAGTGTTGCCAGTGTTTCCTTCAAGTCTCACGAAGGAACTGGGTGCTAGTCTTGAGTTACTTCCTGTTGTTGAGCTTAGTCCCATTGAGACACCAAGACCTAGATTAGCTTAAGATGAAAATCTTATTTAATAACTGTTACCTACTTCTCTACCTTCTTTTGCAAAGGCTACTGAACAAAGTAATGATGACCAGTCATCTTCAGACATCATACAGTGAGTTCTAGCAGAGCTAAGAAGCTGTATAAAGCCATACTGGAGCCATAACTGTCTCTTGCTGTCCTTGGCTGTGCCTGCGTCCCCCTTCATCTGCTCTCTCCGTTGTCTCTTCCACACAAGCTACCCTCTCCCAGGTGTTGTTGAGAACAAGATAATGAATAATCTAGCTAATATCAGTTGCATGTACATTGTCCTGCAGGGGTTCTTAGGTTAGTTAAGTATATACATTCCAGTTCAGGGAGAGTTGATTATAGGAAGGTCTCCTGTTTTAAGGAAAAAGCATGGAGTTTGAATAGAGAGAAACTTGGGTTTAGATTCTGATGTGTCTGCATGGTGCTAAATGACTTTAGGCACACTTTTCTAACCTCTCTGGTCTTTAATTTTCACATTTATAAAATGAAAAGTATGTTTGTGATCCATAGGGTTTCTGTCCATCATAACTAAAATTTGAGCATGATTAGTGTATAGCTTTTGAGGTAGCAGTGGTTCATTTACCAGATGAATGTTACTTTGGGGGCTGAAAAAAACAGATAATGAACTTAGATCATTGCTTCGATCACCTCTGCTTGGAAAGCAATGACTGAGGTCACTGTCCCGGAAGCCAAGCCTCAGGCAAGGAAATAACTGTCAGTGTTTCCAAGCACTGTCCATAGAAACAGTCTTCTTGGAATATTCAGGGACATCCACATGTCCACTGAACATCTACTAATACTTTGATCTGTACCACAGTTCTGTTGCAAGCAAAGAAAGTACTTCTCCTGGTGTAAACAAATATCATCACCTTGGCATAACTAAAGCCAATGTTTCATAGAAATAATAAACATGCATGTGATTGTGTGCCAATTGTGAATGCATATGTGCATGTCGTTAGCCAAATTGTTCTTATTCTGTCTATATATAAGTCTCTATAAATATAGATATTTCCAACTTTTATTTTTCACATAAAGAGAGGGAATTGCAACATTCTTAAATGTAGTGACAAAATGCCTGTTATCTGGGTACAGCAGGTTAAGGCTCCCTTTTGTAACTCTGACATCCTGTTTCAGAGTGCCAGTTGGAGTTCTGACTGCCAGCTCCCTGCCTGGGAAAGCAGAGAATGCTGGCCCAAGGACCTGCGCCTTGGAGACCTTGGTGAAGTTTCTGGTTCCTGGCTTTGTCTTCTGTGTGGCCCAGCCCCAACATTGTAGACATTTGGAGAATGAGCCAGCAAATGGAAAATTCTTTCTCCCTGTCATTTTGCCTTCTAAACAGATAAAATAAGTCTTTACAAAATGTGTGTTTTCAGAGCAGGTATTTGGCCCACAGTTAAAGTACCAATCTGCACTCTCTCATTTGTGTCAGAGTATCCAGACTCTGCCACCTATTCCAGTGTCCTTCTAATCATACCCTGGAAAACATCAGGCTTTGGCTCAGGTAGTTGAATTCCTGCCATCAACATGGGAGACTGCGTTTTGGCTCCCATCTTTGCCTCAGCCCAGCCCTCAATGACGCAGGCATTTGATGAACCAGTTGATGGACGCTTTCTTTCTCTCTCCCTTTCTCTCTCTCTCTTTCTTTATGGCACTCAAGTGGTTGAAATAAAATAATTCTTTTAAATATTTGTTGTCTCAAAGGTGCTATGATGAATTACTTGATTATAATCATTTTTCTACCTAACATGTTCCCTTTGATGTTGTATGTTACTATTACGGCTTTACAATAATCTTTTGATATTATTTCATTTTAGAAGTTCATACTTTTCTGTAAATTACATGGTGTTACAAAGTTATAAGAGTAATATTTCAGTGATATTTAAAATATTATAAATTGGATGTAATTGTTCATAGCTCATAGTTTTTATTATACTCATGTTTCTATTAAGATTTACTCTGATCAGTTATCCTACTGGCATTAATTGTATACTTTTGAATAGTAGATTTCACCAGAATTTTCAGATTAAAATGGTATTTATTTTTCTCACTCAGTTTCAGACT